TATATCGTAAAATTATATAACAGGGATGAGATACAATAAAAAAATAAATAAATAATAATAATAATAATAATAAAATGTGACGATGATAATATTAAAAAATATTATTATTAATAGTAATAAGGGTGACAGACGGCAGGAAAAGATAAGAAAAGCAGCGGGGGGGGAGGGGGGTGTTTATTGTAGCTATCGTGGCACGAGTAGTAGAATTAAATAATAATGATGATAACAATAATGACAGTAGTAGCTGTGTAGTCGACAACGGCAGAGCATGCACAGCAGGGAAGACCTTCCGTGTTTTTGTTAATTTTATTTTACAAAGTGGGAAGAAATATGATAACATTTCTTATTATTATATTATATGCCACACCCCATCACCCACCAAAACCAATCATCCGCCCACACCCACGCACGAAATATTATACACAACACCAGGCCATAACCGTGGTGCAGTACAGCATGCCCAATCCCTTGGCCGAGATGGAGCTGCTGGGCTTCTGGGGCCTTAAGCTCGTGGCGACAGTGACGGATTGCCACATGTCCGACAGTAAGTAGATCTCTTTCTTTTCACTTTTTTAGTGTGTTTGTGTGTGTGTTTTTTTTTTTGTGTGTGTATGTTTTGCTTCGGGGTTTTTTGGAGATATGCATGTTTATTATTTGCCACCCCTTTTGTGTTATATACGTATGCATGTCTGCTGATAAGTATGTTTGTGGTAATAAATGGACATGTATCCAGGCGGCAGGGTGATGACGGCTTTCGTCTTCAAAGTGGTCTCGTACAGGAACGAAGCAGCGTCGACAATGTTGACTCCGGAACCTCTTCCGGAGTCCCTGGAGTACCTGCAGGCCCAAGTGGAAAGGGCCTTGGATGAGAGACGGGAGCTGGAGCGAGTAATGTGGGCAGCCCGGGAGGGGCGAGGTGGTCCTTCCATGCTGTCCTGCAAGCAGCTGGAGACCATCGAGTTGAGCACCATGGGAGAGGCGGCAGAGCTGGAGGTGAAGCGCGCCCTCGAGGTGA